ATTTAGTTGGGGTTTGCAAGGCGGCGCTAGTGTCGTTGGATTACGGGACCGTGCTTTTGGCCTCTCTGACGAACAAACCTTCTGAGGCGAGCGATAAGTTGCAGCAGGGTTTTCAGAGGAACCTATCGCTGGGCATGTGCGGCGGGCCGGTGCTCCGGCGGGACTCCGGCAAGTGCGTCGGGGTGATCGTATCCCAAGTGCTCAAAAATGCCTCACCAAGGGATCCGAACGTGGACGCACTCTACCAGAATCCTTACCTAGACATTTCCGAGATTACATCGCTGCACACCCATGGTTCACTGGATGTGGCCTTCGTACCGATCGGAGAGTTTTATAGCACAATGCGTCGTTCTGAGCTGTAGTAGGATGATTATGAGCGTTTGTTGATATTGTAGGACAAATGCAATGATTAGGAGAGATCTAGCAGAAAAGAACACGATGAGTTTAGACTAAACCATTATGGATAGTGTGATTTTTCCCTCTTGTTTTATTTTAGTGCCATAGTTTTGTGTTTATATAATTTACAATGCAAATGTTTTTTTTTTTGCTATAGTGTTTTGATAAAAATGTTGAGCCTTTTTTTCTTTCATCCCTTTAACGACTTAGGATTAGATTACATTTCACACTTTAGTACTCATTTTCATTCCACACTAAGTATTAAGGAGATATAGTACTTTTAACTTTTATTCACTCTATATAGGAATATATATTCAGTATATAGTTAGACCAATACCGAAGGAGGCAAAAGGGGGAAAAATGGTAAAAAAACATGCGTCTGGGGAGAATATTCGGGTGGTTATTCGTGTGCGCGATTTATTGCCATACGAAGCGGAGCGGGGCGACAAAGCCCTTGTTCGTTTAGATTTGGCCACAAATCAGGTTATTGTACAACACCTTATTGGCGACCCGGATATCTTTGCTTTCGATTCCGTTTTCAATAATACCTTCACTCAGCGCGACTTGTTCTTACAAGAGGTGCAACCACTAGTAGATGCTGTGCTCCAAGGTTACAACGCAACCGTCTTTGCATACGGCCAGTCAGGGTCTGGCAAGACTTACACAATGACCGGTAACATAGAAAAAAAGGAATTATGGGGTATCATGCCCCAAGTGGTAGAGTATTTATTTACAGAGATCAAGAAGGTGACGTCCTCTACGAAGACTTTCAAGGTAAAAGTGTCGTACGTGGAGATTTACAACGGCAAAACACATGACCTCTTATCTTCCAAACTTATTGACCTTGAGATTAAGCAAACCATGGCTAAGAATTTCTACGTGAAAGGAGCTGAAATGCCGGAAATAGCAAATCAGACAGAAGCCCTACGTTTGTTTAATAAGGGGACGGAGCGGCGTCGCACTGCTTCAACTGACCTCAACGATACTAGTAGCCGCTCGCATTCTCTATTCACTGTTCAGATTGAACAGTTTAATTTTGAGAACGACCCCAGCTCGCCCATCGTGATGTCAAGCAAAATCAATTTAGTCGACCTGGCGGGCTCAGAAAAGTTGAGTAAAACGAATGCCACTGGCGATACGATTAAGGAGGGATGTAATATTAATCTTTCGTTGTCTGCGCTAGCAACTGTTATTGACACTATCGTTAAGGGCGGGAAGCACATTCCATACCGTGGCTCACCGCTCACGATGCTCCTTAAAGATTCTCTCGGTGGAACCTCTAAAACGGTTATGTTCGCCAACACGGGGCCATCCGACAAAAATACATCGGAAACCATCTCCACTTTACGGTTTGCTACTCGGGCGAAGCAAATTGAGAACAAGCCCATAAAGAATCTAGACCCTAAGGATTCTCGTATTCAAGACCTACTCGACCAGATCGAGGAGCTCAAGAGTCGTTTGGGTAATGTTGACCTCAATATTGAGGACAGCTTACGACAGCGCATCGAGGAACTCGAGATCGAGAACTCCGACCTGCGTGTTGATGGTGAGAAGGGTGCACTGGAGATTGAAGAGCAATGCCGCATGCTTAAGATCAAAATTGAGGAAAAAGACAAGGAACTTTTGGAGCGTCAACGTGATCTACATCGTCTGATCGACGAGCGTGGGATGAATGAGGCCAATTTGGCCAATGAGACGCACCACTTGAATGAACTACGCAGATTGAACGCTAATTTCATCAAGAGAATCTGCTCTGATGAGGAATTGAATCAGATTAAACTCCAAATGCCCAATGACGGCTCGTACAACATGACGGATGATAACTGGGACGTCAAGGAGATCGCCTTCTATTTGCATGGCTTCGCTGAGCTCTACGAGCACTGGCGCAAGGTGACCTACACAAAAGATGATATGGAAAAGTACGCAGCGCGGGCGATGGCGGAGATGCAAGAGCATCTGCAGCTTCAGATTAACGATGCCATTCGCTCCCGGGACGAACTTTTACGCCAACGCGATGAGGAAGCGGCTCAGCGAACGGCGGATAGCGTTCAAATGTCACAGCTGAAGGTTGAATTAAATTCCTTGCGTGACGAGAATACCAAACTTCGCGAAAAAATTGAGCGAGACCAGGAAAAGATCAAAACCAAGCTTGCAAAAAGCAAGGATGAATACAAGGCTTTGCAAGATCAACTTGAGACGACCAAAGCGACCGTTACGGAGAAGGAACGCGATATAGAGCGTCTGAAGCGAATGCTTAGCGATGCGGGTGTGATGGCCAACTTAAACACCGGTAGCTCGTTCCTTAGCACTTCTAACTGGGGTAACATGGATGAGCGGTCCGCCGTTCTCCGGCAACTGGAGGAGGTACGGGAATCAAAGGACGCTTTGGAGAGGAAGATCAAAGAGACCAACGTTTCTCTTCGCCGGTTCGGTATTTGCATCGCGGATGACCCCCCCTCGGATGATGCGCTTAACGCGGCCAACAAATCGGATGCCTTCATGTTGGCCGCGATAGATGAAGAACCCATCAACGACGACGTGTTCGCACAGCTACAGCAGCAGCTTCGCTCAAAGCAAAGGCTGCTCGAGCTAGCGCATCAACAGCAAACTCAGCTCGGGGGTATGATCCGAAAGTTTGAGCTACTTACAACTGGCAAAGTGACTTCGGATTTCCCTGAGGCGCACGGACATGTAAACAATACCAGTGGTGTGGCCGCCGCGATCGATGAGGCGACGATTCAACAGCTTACCGATCTACTCCAGAGTAAGGAGGATACCATTGAAAGCCTGCGTCTGGAGAAGGACCAGATCAGTGATAAGCTTGTTCACAAGCTCAACAAGAACGAGCAAAAAATTCGAGACCTGGAGTCCGCGATTGAGGAAGAGCGCACGCAAATTAATGAAGAGAGTAGTGAGATGTGCAAAGAGAGAGAGGAATATCAAACGCATATCCAGCAACTATCTTTAGATCTAGAAACATCACGGGAGCAGCTCAAAGGCTTCAAACAGCAACTAGAAAGCATGCAACGTGCAAATGAAAACAAGATTGATTACATGAAGGGTCAAATTCAGGAGCTGCAGCGCCGTCTTGATGAAACTCGCAACAAGTCTGCAGAGTTTGAGGAGATGGAGAAAAGCTATGAGCGATTACAGCGGCAGATGGCTCGCACTGAGCAAGCTCTTAATGAGAAAACTGAACATTTGGAGAACAACCGGCAGGTGGTTAAGTGGTCTAACTCTCTGTTGGAACGTGAAAAACGAAAGAGTGAGGAGCTAGAGATGACGATTCGGCAGCTAGAGCTGGAAATGCGAAAACTGGATGAGACATGGCGTACAGAGCTAGCCGAGCAAGTAAACAAACAGATCATTGCGAACAATCGTCGCTTTGAGACACAGGCCGAACAATTCCAGCAGATTGTTGCTGGTGAACACGAAAAGCAACGATCCTTACAAAAGAAAATAAAGAGTGCTAAATCTACTGCAAGCAAAGCCGAACAACGATACGATGAACTTATTCTTGAAAACGAATCTATTATTTCCCAGCTTGAGGAACTGAAGGTAGCCTCATTGAAGATGTATTTGGAGAAGCAGGAGGCTCAGAGAGATTTGGATGCGCTTTGCCCCACAAACAACATACGTGCTCGTGCTTTCTAGTAAAGCTTTTTTAGTAATTCAATTGAGGAACTATCTTCTTTTGATTTTTTTTTGCTCACTATGTTTTAATATATTACTGTGCGTTACCTAACGGAGCGTAAGGGAGGTGAATTGTCTAGTTCTCAATTCCTCCATCTTTGTGTATATCAAAAAAAAAACATTCTGATGTTTTTTGTTTGTTGCGTCACTATATTGCATACAAATGTTGTTTTTATTAACCTTGTAGGCGTTTCTATGTTATTAGACTTTACGCGACCTTCATTTTGGATCAATGACAGCAAATAAATAACTACCAACCCAATGTTAAAATAGACAAGGGAATATTAAAATTCAATCTAATACGGTTTTTATTCCCACTTTTCACAATGGATTGCGGATTTTCATAAATGAAAAAAATGCTTTTTTTTGTGTGTACAAAGGAGATATTAAGTATTCTTTTTATTATCATTTTTGCTATTCATGATTTTGTTATCATTTTATTTTTCATTTCACATCATACTTAATATTGAAAGGGAAATGTGATAAATAAAAAAAACGGAAAAATATTTAGAAAGTAGTATAAATGCCTTAATGGAAATTCAATACCGGTAGTTGAAAGGATTCTGTACAAAAATTCCTCATCTTAATTATTTTCTCCCTGGTATAGTCATCTAAATAATAAAAAAACATATATATATATATAGTTTACCTTTCTAGCTTAACAAGTAAAGTGATGGTGCGAAACACTGCAGAGAATAAAGGCTTCAAAGCTGCCATAGGCAAGGACGCGTACAAGGCCCAAGTGGAAGCAATAAAACGAAGTAAAAAGTGCAAGTACACTCCTACTTCCCAACATTCCAGGGGAAACCCCGTTCACCGCGAGCTCAAGTACCATGAACGCGTGCTTTTAAAGAAGCACGATTTCATGCAGTATCCACAGGATAACTGGCATGACCCGTACTGCATCACGAAATACCACTTGGAGGATCGTGAGGACTACCGCCGCTATCTTCGACTGATTGGGCTGATTAGACAACTCCTCACGCAGCTGCGCTACCTTCCCTCGGATAGCAAAATCCGTATTGAAGTGACCCAACAGCTCTTGGACAAGTCCTATAGCATGGGTCTGATTGGGGAAAAGCTTGGCCTCGCGGAGGTGGATAAGGTGGGTGTGGAGGCCTTCTGCAAGCGTCGCATCCCGACTGTGATGCGCGACCTGAAGATGGCTCCAAACTGCAAGATGGCGGTGGACCTCATTCACCACGGCCATGTGCGCGTGGGTACAACTCAGATTCGGGATCCAGCCTTTTTGGTTCCACGAGGACTGGAGGACTTCGTGACGTGGAAACCCGGCAGCAAAATTCGTCAGCATGTGGATACCTTCAACGTCAAGAGGGATGATTACGACTGCTCCTAGAGTGTACTACACATGGTTCTTGTATTCAGTTGATGATCTAACAGGATTAATGTAATGCGTTTAAACAAAAATTAAATGTTTGCAGGAGATAAAGAGTACTTTTGGGAGATTAAATATTTTATAGGCATCTCTTATTGCAGTTTTTTCCACTAAAATATTGCTTCCACACATCAAAGTATATTTGCTTTTTAATTCATTTCTTTCAGTAAATTCTGATATGAGCTAGCATAAATGTGAGTCCCAAAGGGGGCCTGTTATTATTCCGTCTCAGTGTCTAAATTCAGGATCATGTGTTATATATATATATATATACTCTTAAATACTGCACTCTATGTTTCTCTGACGTTCTCACCAGGGGGCCCACGTTCCCTTTTCTCAACTAGGTTTCAACTTGAAAGCGATTACAGGTTGATACTAGGACTTATATCAATAGAAAAATTATATAATTATATCTAGTCAATCAATGGGTAATTGCCATTCTGTCAAATCCAATGCAACTAAACTTGGACCCAATAGTGAATCATTTAATAATCGGTGTGATGTAACCATATCTCAACACACTGATCACGAAAAGGATCTTGTGTATCCCGCCCATCTCAATGCCAATGTTGATCTTAACGGGAAAGACACTCTACAACCGTTTTTTGAACAAGAAAAGACAAACACTTATAAGGATCCATCCCCTCCCGGTTCAGATCTCATAGAGCCCGTTCATGGCAATGGAGGGGAATTGCGACCTCTAGGGGTGACGAAGAACAGGAGTCTAGTTTGTAACGGCTTCGTAAAGCGCGAGGGCAGTCCTGGGGTGTGCCGCTCTGTGAGGATTTGTCATGAGAATTTCAAAGCAAGAAATAGCACCAGATGTTTTGGCAATAGAGCCCGTGGAATAAAATCACCTATCCCTAGTACGCCTACGCAGCGGGCGTTCGTAAGATTGATATCTGAAAACCCTGCGAGTGCTGATATTCTATCACCACATGATAGCGACAACGATCTTGTATTAATATGCCTGGATTGCGGAATGACGATAGATGAGGAGAGCGTAGGTATCGTCTGCCCATTAACAGCCAAACTCCATGCATGAGTATAAGCCTGTACATCAGAAATTGCTCTTGGAATTTGAGGATATTTTTTGGAAGCTTCATTTTTTTCTTGTATGGTAACATTATTTTCCTTTATATTATTGAAGTCTTCATGTGGTAAATGAATCATGTTTTTAAAAACTTTATCACTATCTAAAAACGTCATAAAAACGAAGCTGGTCGCATCAGTTCAGCATAATATCTTTTGCAGCCTTCTTTGTAAATGATAAAATTTACCACTTAATGTTCCCTATTCTTTTCATTAATTCATTTTCTCCCTTTTTTGAAGCTTGCTTCTCTACAATATTTACTTTTCATTGCTTTTTTTTAGGCAGTAAAAATAAATATTGACATAGAATCGAAGCTATTATCAAACACACATACGCACACACCGAAACCCTTTTTTCCTTATTATTATTAAAAAAGTCACACTCCTTTGATTTCTTTGCTGATTGTTATCTCTGTCTATTTACTTGTTTTTAAAGTTACTTAGCTTTCTGAAGGATTTTTTCCTTTATTCGCTTCTCTATATTTTCATCATTTGTTGTGATACCTAATAGAAAAGGTAGCACCGGAATAGGGAAAAGAATAGGAACAGGCGTTCTGAATTTCCAATTAGATACATTTTCCAGTATTTATAACGACTAAGGTAAATTAATTATCAAATCGAAAATATAATTTTTTATTGGTAACGTGATTGAATTTGCTGTTCAGCGCGTGTGTGTGTGGTTTGTTACATCTTTTCTAATCAGAATTACTATGTCTTCTAATAATCATATTCCTAGTCGCCGAAAAGAAATCGATGTTATGAAGTTGCTGAAAGCATCCCAAAAGGTGTATCTGTCGAAGAATATTTCCGAGTTCTGGGTTGAGTTTGTGGGCCCCGAGGGCACACCATATGAAGACGGGACCTGGGTCCTACACGTGGTCCTTCCCCCTGAGTACCCCTTCAAGTCCCCTTCCATTGGTTTTGCGAATCGGATTTGGCACCCGAACATTGACGAGACCAGCGGCAGCGTCTGTCTGGATGTGATTAACCAGACGTGGACGCCGATGTACGAGCTCAAGAACATCTTCGACGTCTTCCTGCCCCAGTTGCTGCGCTACCCCAACCCTGAGGACCCACTCAACCCGTCCGCCGCGGCCCTGCTCCAGCGCGACCCCACCGGATATGTAACAATCCTGCAGGAACACGTCGCGGCCCACGCCACGCGGGCCAAAGCCCTCGCGAGCATCCCGACACCCTACGGCCCCCCCCCTAAGGCCCCTCCTCCCCCTAAGGCCCCTTCTGAGGGCGTCGTGGAGAGGCTCGAGCACGGCCCCGCGGGTATCGACGGGGTCGCGATCTGCCAGTCTCACCAATGGGAGGAGGAGGAGTACACCCCTGAAGAGATTGAATTGTGATATGAAGGACGAATA